GTGTGTGTGCGCATGTGTGTGCACATGTGTTTGCGCGTGTGTGTGCGCGTGTGTGCGTGCGCGCGTGCGCGTGCGCGTGCGCGTATCCGTGTGCGCGTATCCGTGTGCGTGTGCGTGCGTGTGGGTGTGTGTGTGAGATCCACGTTCATGAAAAACATACCAACAGTGCTTCGCTGAGCCAATGACCCATGAAGAGCATTCAGTTTGCGGTCAACATGGCCGGTTTCCAGCTCTGCGCCCTACCTCAGCGATCTGAATTACTATGCCTTTCCAACCCAAGATCTGGAAAATCCAGGTGCCAGTAAAGGACATACATGGGGCCCGAGCTCGTTCTGAATCTGCGAGCTCGCCTACAAAAAACAGGCTGCCGTGAACACGCCCATGCCTAGGTGTCCTCTTAGGGGAAACAAATGGCCCTGGTAAATGATTAAACCACCAGGTAAACCAGGGCCATCGATTTTTCTAGCAAAACAACCAAAAAGGACACCTATGTGCCCATGTCTCCACCAGTCCGAGGTGCTGGTGCTTCAGAGACCTCAGAAGCTCCACCTCTCGGCGAAACATGGCTAAGGAGTCCAGCTTCTTCTGGCCCTTCTCAGACTTGTCCGCCTTGTCCTCCTGCTTTGAGACACGCTAACCCCGACATGGTTGGGATGTTTGTGTGTCCTCCTGGGTCGAGAAGACGTTTCAGATTTCTTTTTCTCCCCTCCCAAAACCAGAACAAAAAGATCGCCGAAATTCCGGAGGGCTCTTCGCCTGTGTGCCGGGAACATGCGCGGTGAACCCGCGCTTCGACAGATTTCGCGAACGATCGTGGAGTCGCCTTCACGGTCTGACGTTTTTTATTGGACAAACTGGAGCAACAGCTTGGGATCGCCAGAAAAACACAGAACGAGAAGCAGCGCCCACCAAGGGTCAATGTGCCTATGTAGTATATATATATATATATGTCATACCTAGAAAACTCCTTTCCGGATTCAAAACTGCATTTTTTTTGCCAAGGCAAAAATGGGAGATCATAAGATGTTACGCGTTGACAGAACACCCTGGCCAACTGACTGACATTACATGATATTACCCCGCCTGGCGCTCGGTGATTTTCACGGCGCGCAGCTTGTCCGGGAAGTTTCTCACTCGGACTTCTCTAACTTCACCGAACGAGCCGCTGCCCAGAACAGCCAGGATCTCATACTTGTCACCTGTCAAACACTGGGTTCCTCTCAAAGTGGGGGAACCCGCAAAACGGGCGGCTCCTTTTCATTTCCTTTTGTAACACCCCGAAAAAGGTACTCAAAAAAGGACGCACCCAACATCGCAATTGACACTACCACTAGGCACAAAAGCCCATCTCCCTTGAAACCCTTGAACAAGACCCGGTTGCGAAACCTAACAGCTCTTCGGAAAATGAAAATGGTTGCAACGGATGTGCCTTGGGCCTGCGGATGTTAGAAGGATGTCGACACTAGCATCACTAGCATCACGAGGCTCTCTTGCTGGTGGGCAGAAAAAGTGGCTCCTTTAACAGAATCCCTAGGTTCATTCCCAACACCCGGGTCATTCCGTACTGAGCACCAGCAAGCCATGCAGAGTTCCTAGTTTTCAAGTGCCACAAGGTGGTCTTGCTCTTCCCACCACTTCCTTGAATCTTCCTTCCAGCTTGGAAGACAACGACCCCAAAGCCCGAATTAAGGCAGAAAAACATTTGATCTCCTGACATCCATCTCATCTTGACCAACCAACCAATTTGAGCTACACCTTCTTTGCTGTTGGAAAGGTTTCCTCAAATCACGCCGGGAGGGTCAGGGCTTTGGCACCCAGAATCTGGGCCCTAAGACTCTCGAAGCTGCATCCCACGAGCTCCTTTCGGACTTCCGAGTGGCGGATTTGCCCGGGACTGAGTTGTAGCTGCACATCATGTTGAGAGAGCCTCGGTTTTCAAGGGTCTGTAAAAAAAACCTCATGTGGATTCCCGCCTGGACTGCACGAGAGTTGCTAAAAGAGGGCACATGTGGGGCATCTAAGATGACATCTAGATCGGTTGACCAAAGGGTTCTCCTTAATTCATGGTTACGTGCAAAAAAGGGGGGGCTTTCCCCGAAGCACATTATTCTGCAGAAGGATGTGTTTCGATGGGAACACTCTCAAGACTGCTTCATGGACTCGACTTCCCATCTTTTTCTGATTTCAACCAAAGGATCACCAAGTACAGCACATACCCATTTGTGCAATGGTCAAAACTGCCCTCTCTAGAGACGGCAGTTTTGCTAACACCCAAAACACCCCAAGGTTCAAGCTCCGAACGCTCTGTTCTTGTTGCTTGGAAAACAAATCGCAAGGTGATCATCCTTACGTTAAGCAAGCGTCGTTTTATTTTTGACGCTGGCACTGGCCAGAAAGGCCAAAATTGGGTGCCAAACAGAAACAGATCTCACCAGAACCAACATCCCCCAAATCCATCTCGCAGGGTCCGAAGTTTGACTACACCCAGGGTTCTCCTTGGGGAATGAACCACCTTGGTTTAGGTCTACCCTTTGCCAACTCAAGCCTTGGTTTGCTTTGAATCTGAATCTATGAGCTGTACTTTCAAACGGCTGGTGCCTAAGGCCGTGCCAGTCAAGCTGTGCCTGCGTGGCTCTAGGGGACACACATGTGCGGGTTGTCAAACATGGAGCTGAGCCGCAGTCAAAACCGATCGGTACTAAAATGGTCTACCCAGAACCATGTACAGGCTTAAGAAGGCAGCCGCACCCTTTTTATGGTTGGGATCGTCCCTTGTTAACCTTCATCCACCAAGGTTTTGATTATGGCTCAGCTGTTTTTGAGAGGTCCCTGCAAGGAGGCCGCCCGGTGCTGCTGTGCCAAACGTTGGTTTAACCACCTGAGCCCCAGCCGCACCCCCCCCCCCCCCCCGCTGCCACGCGGCTTCGGAAAATCGGCCTTGGCGCCTGGTGCCAACTTGCCCCGCTCGCCTCAGGACAAGTCACCCGGCTGGTCATGCTCAAGCAGTGCACTTAACTAGGACTCCCCCGCCCCCAACAATCAACAAACAAGAGTGATGTCTCTTTGCTGCCTCTGAAACGACGGTTGCTTTCGCATGGGCTACTCCGCTACCCAAACTCCTAAGCATTCAAAACGCGATTGTACGGCAAGAATCCATCCAAAAGGCACCGGACCCTTGTTGAAAGCCCAAAGCTATTCGTAGTCCAACGAGGGCTGCTTTAGATGTCGATCTCCAAGCCCGGTGCTCAACCCGCAACTGTTGAGTGTCATTTGTGGAGCTGCCTCGATTTGATTTGTTCTTTGTTCTGGGGGGGGGGCATTCCACTTACTAGCTCCTTTACTAAAGCGCTCTAGTGAGAACTATTAGGAATTCCTTGACGTTGGGATCTCCAGGTTGCAGAACAAGAAGTCCCAAACATGGGCAGCGATGGGTTCCCCCCGTTAGGTCGCAAAAGGCTCCAATATGCTCCAAAGACATGAGGGGTCGCGCAAGTGGCATCCGTTTAGGTCAATGGGAAACCAAAAGTAAACCAACCATTGTCAGGGCACCTGTAGCTTTGGGCACTTGAAACCATCCCTGTTTCAACTCCTTCGGGTGGATTTCAGGATCTTTTCAGCGACGTGCGACCCGAGTTCCAAGCTGCTTCTCTCCATTTCCAACCCGAACCGTTGCCTCAAAAGGGCCCTTTAATAAGGAAGCCCCAAACATAGGTCGTCTTTTGGAAAAATAGATGGCCCTGGTAAATGGAATAAAAGCCATCTAAACCAATGCCTTCTATTTTTGACCACACTAATTAACCTACAAAGGCCACTTATGGTCCCAAAGCTACAGGGAGCCTAGAACCATGCGGAACAGAGCTAGTTGTTTTTCGGCTTCTGGCAACATCTTTCCGATCCCACAGGGAAATTCGACCAAAATGGAAATTCCATGGATCACCCCGTGGAAATCCACATGTAACGGGCTGGGAAGTTCCTTCCGGCGCGCCTTGTGACCTTGAGTCTGGCGATTGGGACAAATCGGACAAGGCTGCCTCCGAGACCTGGCTCGATGGCTCAAACCAATCGCGGAGCTCCCTGAAACACACAAATGGATGGCACCCTCCACAAAACACAAAAAGCAATGTGAGAAGGGTACCCTCCAAAAACACACACACACACACAAAAACAAATGTAGAGGATTAAACTAAACTGTGGTTCTTGACCATTGGGTAGCTCCGTGAAAAAATCACAGTGCACACAAATGGAGAGGATTGGATTGTGGCACTTGAACGATCGGAATCAAGCCAATCGATCGCCAGTCATGGTGCTGTTCCCAGCTTGTGGGAGAAGCAAGTGGGGTGCCTCCATCGGTGTTCATCACAGTTCATGGCGGACCCCGCTTTTGGATGGCTTGAAAGGAGCGGCCACAAGAAAACGCATATATGCTTCGGGCCCCTACCTCGTTTCCCTCACACCGGGAACATGAATGCCATGAATTTCAGGGATGTCATCAATTCACAAACCCCAGGAACCAAACAAAAGGAGCACATCAAAAGGCCTCGGGTCAGAAAATATGCGGGGAGACGGCCTCGGAAGTCCCGCCCCTCAACCAACTGTAAAACAGAACATCTGCGAAAAAGGTCATTGACACCGGGGGCGCTCAAAAGCAAAGGCTGAACATACTGGCGCGCACATAGAAACGAAACCCATAAGTTTTGTTTGGTGAGATCGCTCGCCCGGTGGCCATGAATGGTCACATGTTTGACTCTATTTCGAGGGCCAATGCAAAAGAAACACTTGCCACTGGGCAACTGGGAATCAGGTTACAATGATTAGTGTCCTTTTGGAAGCCATCCACAAAAGGAGGTTCCCTATGGTAGGGCACGCCCAGATTGTGGTGAAAAACCGCCCTCATGGCCCAGATTGCTTGGTTTCCTTTTGGGTTTTCCTTTACTCCAATCTGGTTTTTCTGAGTGCAGGCCGTCCCCACTTTGTTGAAACACCAACTTCGCGCGTGTTTCTTCCTCAAGGCCAGGCAACTTTCTGGTGTGTTTCACAGACACCATCTAATTCATGTTCATCTCCTCGGAGACAAACTCCCAACGCTTTTCATATTTCCCTAGGACGCAAAACAAGAAAGAAACAACAAAACTCCTGCTTTTCCCCTAGGATGCACCACAAAATCATCTCCTGTTGGGGTTTCAAGCCCTTCAAACGCCTTGCGCAAAGAGGGGCGAGGGGCGCCACTCGGAGCCGCTTCCCCACATCCGAATCACGCGGCCTTCGA